GCAAATTAGTCGTATGAGAGGATCAAGCAGCCTAGCCTGGGTTTTTCAGCCTAGGACTGGAGCCGTGGGCCGTGATCTATCTATGGACGTGTTCGGCAGGCAATAAAAGGAAAACACTGAGAGAGAGAGAACGAACGAACGAACGAACGAACTTGATTTTCAAAGGGTTACACATTAGGCACGCAGGCCTGTCTTACATTCGGCCCTTCCAAACTTCCATCTTTCACACAGCAGTTGTATTGCATCAATGAAGCATGTTATATTCATGTAATGATATGCATATTATGGATATGAAGTCAAAAACAAAAGCATGGGTGGTAAAATATGTGCCGTTCGGTGTTTACATGGTTAAATGGTCTGCGACCAACGATCCGACTTGCCCGTTGTGCAAAGCGAAGCAGACTCTTGAGCACGTCCTGTCCGCGTGCAGGAAAGCCCTAGGCCAAGACCGATATACCTGGCGCCACAACAAGGTGCTAAAAGAGTTAGCAGCCGTTGTTGACCAGGCTAGAATGAGGGCTAACGCTAGAGCCAGTTCTACCATCGTCCCCATTCGTTTCCTCAAGGCTGGGCAGATTCAAAAAGGTAAGGTCAACCGAAACGCATTCGCTCCATCTGTGCTAGACTCTGCGAGGGACTGGTTACTGGCGGTTGATCTGCCGGGCCATGAGAGGTACCCCGGGTTAATCCGGAAGACCGGTCTGCGACCTGACATAGTTCTCCACTCTGCGGAGAAACGGCAGCTCATCCTGATTGAGCTCACCGTCCCGTAGGAGTCGCGTATGGACGAGAGTCACACATATAAGCTCGAGAAATATTGTGACTTAGCAGCCGGTCTGAGGAGAAACGAGGCGTACACAGTACGGGTCTTTGCCGTCGAAGTGGGAGCGAGAGGCCTCGATTCCACTTCGCTCTACAATGTGGTTAAAGAACTAGGATTGCGCGGTAATGGACGGAAACGAACACTTAAAAAACTGGGCGAGGTAGCCGAAAGGGCCTCGAGCTGGCTTTGGACGCAGCGAAACAACGTAGGGAACGGGCCTCGGTGAGCTGGTCCGGGTGTCTAACGGAAAAGAGTTTTTCATCCCTTGAAAGTCCATCGTGTCCGAATTGTCTGCCAGTGATCCACTGCCACCTGCTAACAAAAGTCCAACATGTGTCCGGTAAACCAATCGTAAGCTTGTCGCTCGGTCGTCCAGGTACGCTGACTGTTCTAATTAGGCTGCCGCGACGACTTCTTTTCTCACAGTACCTTCTGCAAATCACCAAGTCGTCTTGTCCCTATCCGAAAGAAAAACACCATCCGGTAATTTCGTGCAGCAGGGTACCAGCCCTGAGCTTCATGAACTCAGGTGGGCCCACCTCCGAAAGTGTCTAGGAGAATCGTGGGCCGAAACACTTGTCGGCGAGGATAACTTCTACTGATGACTGGTAGATCCCTGCTGTACTTGCTACCTGTGAGTTTATTCCTATTGTGCGCACGCTCACGCGCGAACACACACACCAGAGAGAGAGAGAGAGAGAGAAAGAGAGAGAGAGAGAGAGAGAGAGAGACAGAGAGACAGAGAGAGACAGAGAGAGAGAGACAGAGAGAGAGACAGAGAGAGAGAGAGAGAAAGAGAGAGACAGAGAGAGAGAGAGAGACAGAGAGAGAGAGACAGAGAGAGAGAGACAGAGAGAGAGAGAGAGAGAGAGAAAACAGACAGAGAGAGAGACAGAGAGACAGAGAGAGAGAGAGAGAGAGACAGAGAGAGAGAGAGAGAGTGAACCCCCTCATAATAGAAAAAAAAATGTTTTTTATTTCCATGTTAGCATTATGCAGGACTAACATATCAAAAATGAGAATCAAACCGTTGCAAATCCCGTTCAAATTATAACATATGGCACAGTTATATTGGAGCACCACACAACGGTTATGAAATCATTGTAGACCAGTGTGGGTGTGATTGTGTCTTGTACCCTTATAATTAATTAGTTGACGGGAGGCGCTCAACTGGCTTCAGTCCTGTTTGATTGATTGGCACCTTTCCCTCTTTCCAGACATATTGTTATATTACGCAGTGATGAGGCTGTGGCTCACAGCCCATGGCGGGGGCGAGTGTGACTAGCAAGACCCGCCCACGTTAAGAAAAGTCTTCCACAATTACAGCATGGAATTTTAGGACCTTTGGTGACAAAATTTGTGTTTAGTGTATTTCTTCTCATACGCTCAACTCTCATCCTTTCTGCAATAATCTTTTTTAAAGAGTACAGTAATAATAGCAAAGCAGCCATCTTGAAGACTTTCCCGGGCAGCTACTTTCACTGTTCTTCTCAACGCACTGATTACCTCTAGCTCCCAGCTTATGAACCGTTTCTTACAAAGATGACATTTGTTTACCTCTTCAAAACCAGCAGCTTGATAACTTGTACCTGGCAAGTCAGAAATGTTGAATGATTAAACCGGTCCTGCCTACACCTGGCAAGTCAGAAATGTTGAATGATTAATCCGACACGGCCCCCTCCCCAGAAATGGGCCCAGGAAACTCGCACAGAGAATTCGGCTTTTAAAGAAAGCTTAGGTCTTTGAACCGGCACCCCTGCCATATATCGATACAAGTGTGCAAAGGAATGTTTTTCTGTAACCTTGCACTACATCATCATCATCAAGTGCCTTGCCGACTGGCGTGGTCAATCATACCTCACCAACAATCTACAATCTTCAACAGCGTGTATCAGTTCACGAGTTGACATCCTTCTATTATGCCATGACCAAAGGCTGTCAAGAATCGTCTCGTGTTGTCTTCGTCTTCGTATATATATAAAGATGACTATCTTTTTTTTTCAATTTATGATAAGTTGTCTTCGAGCGCTCGCTTCTTGTAAAACATCTGAGTTTTTGTGTGTGTCCAAGGAAGTCTAATGATTCGTCTGAAAAGCCACATCTCCGAGGCATCAAGAAACTGTTTACCATTTCTCATTAATTATTTAGGATTCACAGACATTCGTGAAAGCTGGATCTAAATAACATTCACGCTACAACCCCTCTACCCCCCCCCCCTTTCCCCCTTTTTTCTTCCTATTTCCAACAGTACATTCTGCAGTACTCACTGTGCACTCCAATAGTGCATTCACAAAACAGCACATAAAGCCATAGTACATATTAAGCGATAAACACACGAGTATAAGCAGGAAGTAATCAATCTGTTATATTTATTTGCTATCTCGAACGCTCAGTGCAAGTTGACGTGGAGAAGAATTCATTAAATATAACTGTGTTATCTCACAAATTGCATACATCATCTGGTAAATAATGCATAATAAATCAGATCTAATAGTAACGGCTAAGGTTCATGTTGTATAACATCTTCGTAATCATTTTCCCTAGTGTGTCATTTCATCTCATCACGGATCTCCGTCCCGTTTCCAGCTCTAGACTTGAACGTTCTGCTAGGCTGATGTATTATATTTATTTCATTGTTGCGACCGTATCTTGATCTGACTTGAGGTTATCTACCCGTTTATTGACTTGCATCATCTGTTATCGATGTTTTCAGTATATTTGTCTGTCCATAACTGATTTGTAATCCCAACCTTGATACTTAACTGTAACTACTTCTGCTAAATCACAATGTAATGTCCAGGTGTGAATCAGCTGTTTTTTTTGCAGGTTTATTAGCTACTTCAGTAAAATTTTTAAAATGCCCTCTACACCAATAAAACCAGCACAGTTAGATAGCTGTAAACAATCTCTTTCCAATGGTACCTCATTTAGGCTTGTATGTCATTTCTGAGCTGAGATATGTAAGTTTTTGTGGAGATGAGATGTAAGAAACAGCCGCTAAAACTTGTGACCCAGAAACAAGAAGTTTTTCTCTGCACAACCTACTGCGCAGTTCTGTATCGGCTTTGTTTACATTGGACTGTCGTTGGACAAGATGGCAGGCAATGAGACACAGCCACTGGCTGAGCCAGCGATTGCCTAAAAAATGTCACTGTACATCTACCATGCCACCGTTCAGTAAGAAATTTTATACACAAATGTAAAATTGGACGGAGAATTCAATTATAACTAGCATTACCAGGACGAGTAACAGTTAAAGCCTAAAGACAACCTGAAAAACTTATCGCTATTTTCAATCAAACTGATGTAACAGAAAAACAAAGGACGTCCGGCTGTCGTAGACATGCGCTGTTAATCGGATTCCTTCCCGCTGTTTTCAGCCATTTAGAGTGGGTGAAAATCACACCAATCCCAAAATTTCATGAGAGATTAGGACCCATCCTGAAACCCCAGCCGACATTTCCGAAACAAGTTTCAAACGGTTTCCATGGTAACGGAAATTGTCGAAAAGATCACAAATTTCCGAAACTGTAGTCCCTAGTTTATTCACTGGGGCTCTTAGTCTCACTTTCCCCGTGTGGGTTCATGGGTCTCCGTTTTGGGGAACAAAGAATATAGCCCCTGATTCCCCCTCAATTAGCTTGTTATAGAAGGTGACTGACAGAGATGCTTCCTACAAAGTCGGAGTACATCTGCCTCAGAGGCAAGGAATTAAGGGTCTACAGCAACAACAACATAAGCCAGATCTGTAAAATAGATCAGCATGCACAGCTTCAGTTCTGGATCAAGACCAAAGTCCAGAAATGGATGAACAACCAGAACTTCCTGCCAGAATTCATGTAAATTGAGCAAAACATACAAAGAGGAAAGAATCAGCTTGTTAGGGAGTAGCATGTCTGTTTGGGTCTGTTATCTCTTCCCCCCCCCCCCCCCTTTTTCCCAAACACACAGTTGGGCTTCATAACTCACATGGGAAGGTTGATCTGTCCAAATATGGGTCTAGTTCTATATGGTCTATGCATCATACTTGTGAAAAAGGTCCTTAACTAGCACAATATACCCAGTTAGCCTTGGGGGGTGGCCAAACAGTCACTGAAGTCGTCAGCTATACGGATGGCTCAGTGATTCATGTAGATTTGTTCCTGCCTTAATCTGTGTGTGAACTTTCCACAGCAAGATGTCGGAATCTGAAGGAGAAGCCACTTTTGCTAGTGCAGATGAAGGAGATGGGGTAGACAAGGGAGATAATGGAGATGGACCTGCAAATAAAGGTACAGAACTAATTGACTTTAAATCTATAGACTTGTCCCTCTGCCCTTTATCCCCCCCCCCCCCCCATCCCCATTGGAGCACAGGCCCTCAACCAACTCACACTATTTCATCCTTCTCTTTATTATATAGTTTTTGCCTGCCCTTATTCCTTCAACCCTGTGGGTTCCAGTGCAGAGATATTCTAGTTCTATTGTTATTGTCATTAGTTTTTATCTTCTTCCCTTAGTTAATGATGTCCTTTTAAAATGTTAATTCAGTTTCCATTCTTACCACTCACAGATCATTGATCACAGAAGAAACTGTTCCGGGGCCCAGTTTTACAGGGACAGGATCAAATCCACTAGCCCCCAACCCACCGCCCTCTAACAAGCATGTAAAAGTTGACTAATTTTGGGGAAGTTGGGAGAGTTTGCTGAAATCAAATGTGTTGGGCCATAAGGCTTGGATATCACAACCTAGCTTTAAACCACTACACAGCATGCCAACCACCCTTTTAAGAGTGAATACAGAAGAACGTAAATAATTCAGAAACTGTCTTATAATTTCATGGATTATCAATAGACAAATACTGATATTCTGCTAGATCTGAACATGAGAGGTTCTTGTCCTCAAAACTGACAGCAAATCAACCTGCTGATTTAGTGATTTAAGAATCAACATCATAGCACACTGGACATACCAGTAGATGCTCCGTCTCCCGCAGCAAATGTCTTAAGGTGTAAATGCTGACTGTTCCTGTAGCACACTGATTATGCACACATCGTTCTCTTCAACTCATACGCCTGACCTTGCTTGATCCAATCCTAATTCTTCATTCACACATTCTTGCACATGTTATTTCATCGAACCTCATGGCTTCTATCAACATTTGTTCACATATGGTTTTCACAATCTCTCCCTTGTCCAGTACAAGTGTTTCCGTAGCTTTCACTTTTGAAGCTAGAAAATCTGTTCTTTCATTCCCTCCCACTCCTGCATATCCCAAACAGTATATCCACGTGATTCACTGACATGTTGACGTTCTGATGCTTGGTACTGCTGCCACATTTGTCCATTTTGAATCTTCTGCAGCACCGACTGAGAATCATTCACTATAATTCCTCTGGTAGCTCTATTTTCTGCTATCCATTTCAGAGCTGCAGATACTGCCTCCACCTCCATCCTCATGCTTGAAGTAGTAGATAAAAAAAGTTGGTGAATCACCAGCTGAATGCAGCAGAAAATGTTAAAAGAGAATGTTCAGGCTGTTGCTTCTTTGCCTCTCAGGCTGATGGATTGTAACTTCGAAAGAAAAATCCCAAATTAGTCAACTTGCACAACAAGTTTGTTGGGGGGCTTTGGGTCTATTTCAGAATGAGGCCCCGGAGCCCACACAGGTACTCTCTCTGTTCTCTACCCTTTGACCTATCTGGTAGGCCCTGCTCGTAGCTACACTAGTGCTGACACTGCTCTCAGGCTCATTGAGAAACTCAAGCTCCCATATCTTGTCAAGGCTGTTAGGTTTAATTAATTTTAACATCAGTTAGTCTCTATACAGTTAATATTGAGTGGTTTCTTTCCTTCTTTGTGCTACAGAAGTTGAACCTCCAAAGGCAGACAACAAGAAAGAGAAAGAACATGCAGAAACTGCTGGCAATGCAGTGGCAAAAAAGGGAAAAGAAGATGCAGTAGAGGGCAAGAAGGAAACACAGAAAGGACAAAGAAAACAGCAGCAGGCAGCTGGTAAAGGTAAACTTATCATTTGTTGTAAAAGCTATTTTATTTGTTGGAACAGCAGTGCTATTTTTTTTTTTAAATTAGAATAACAGTAATTTCTCCGTGCCTGTTTATTTGTTCCTCATTGTCTCTTTAATCTTTGCTGCTGTGTTATTCACCCCCACCCCCCCCCCCCCCTTCCCGGCTGATATTGTTTAAAAAAAAAAGCCTAATGAGGACCTGCATGCCAGTGGGGTGAATGGGTTTACAATATGCAAAGTCTAGTCTCCTTCAGGGCATCCCCGGCCTCTTTCCTAGCAGGCAGGAAATACTCAGGTGACTGTTTACTTCCTGCAGTAAAATAATTTTTCCCATGGATTTTTTACTTGAAACAAATCATTGCTGGAGCTAGTGAGCGCCTGATGTGTGCTGGATACTATTTTCATTGGCCATTATTTCCACATTTCATTTGAGAATATAGATGAAGGCAGTCATTGCTTGTGAAAATTGAGGAGTGGTATGCTTATGCAGAGTTGCAGACATCCAGATCCCAGGTAGATTTAGTTTGAGAATGGAGGTGGAGGCAGTCACAGCAGTTTTCAGCTGGTTTGAGAACCAGCTGCACACACAGGTCATGATTGTAACCGACTCACAATGTAAAGAAATGTGGAGACAGACACACTCCGTGCAGAGTGGCAAGTATCGATCCAGAAGTCCCAGGTAGTTAGCACTTTTTTTTGGGATATTTTCACAGGGGAATGCAGGAATTTTGGAAAATGAATAGGCAGACAGACTTGTTGGTTCAGACCAGTGGGTAGTGAATGTATGCATGACAAGCTAGATATGGTCAAGGCCATTTGGGAATGTGGAGGCACGAATAAATCATGTTGTAGGGAGAGTGATACAGCAAGAAGTAACCACAGGATCTGATTGACACTCTACACTCAGGGGAGAATGATACAGCAAGAAGTAACCACAGGATCTGATTGACACTCTACACTGAGGGGAGAATGATACAGCAAGAAGTAACCGCGGGATCTGATTGACACTCTACACTGAGGGGAGAATGATACAGCAAGAAGTAACCGCAGGATCTGATTGACACTCTACACTGAAGGGAGAATGATACAGCAAGAAGTAACCGCGGGATCTGATTGACACTCTACACTGAGGGGAGAATGATACAGCAAGAAGTAACCGCAGGATCTGATTGACACTCTACCCTCAGGGGAGAATGATACAGCAAGAAGTGACCGCGGGATCTGATTGACACTCTACCCTCAGGGGAGAATGATACAGCAAGAAGTAACCGCGGGATCTGATTGACACTCTACCCTCAGGGGAGAATGATACAGCAAGAAGTAACCACAGGATCTGATTAACATTCTACACTCAGAGGAAAGGCAAGAGGGACATATAATCAAATTGACGGAACGCTTACGGCAGTGTCCTGAGTTCTATGATGTCAGTTCTTAGCTCAGTTAATCAGTCAACTCAACACAACTTTTTTTGTTTCTCAATGTCTTTTTCTTCTTTTTAAATTCCCAATACCTCTTTAGGTAAAGGAAATACTGCAGCAGCTCAGAAGGAGGTGAAAACAAAAGTGAGTCCCCCAGGGATTGCAACAAAGATATCTCCTGGAGTCAAAATCCCCAAGGCAGCAGGGAAATCTCTAGAGGACGCAAAGCCTGAAAGGAAAGATGAAAAGGCTGAAAGTGATTCAAAACTAAATGTTGCAAACAGACCAGAAACTACTCCAGAAGGAGCTGTTAGAGGTGAGAAGGATGTAGAGATACAGGTTGGCAAAACTGTGGAACCAGCAAGATCTGCTTTGAAGGGTGGGCAAGAGGAAAGTTTCTCTGAGAAAAAGCAGGAGCATGTATCCAGTCCTCAAAGTCTGGGTGGATCTGTGGCTTCTACAGGAGGACAGCAAGTCAGCAGTGTAGAGGCTGGAGATGCTACAGGAGGACAGCAAGTTAGCAGTGTAAAGGCTGGAGCTGCTACAGGAGGACAGCAAGTTAGCAGTGTAAAGGCTGGAGCAGCTACAGGAGTGCAGCAAGATGACAGTGTCCGAGCTGAAGACTTGCAGAAAAAAGAAGAGACAGAAGATTCTGGTCCAGCAGTGCAGGACATCCCTCGAGGCCAGCAGGATCACACGCCACAGCAGGAAGAAGTCTTGAAGAAACTGGGAGAGTTTGCTGAAAAAGTAAGTTGTTTGGTTTTATATGTCGTCATCAGTTAAATTCTTTTTTGTCTGTTTTTTTTCAGTGTCATACTTGCTTACATATCTCATGTATCTGCTTGCCTTCTAGCTGTTACCTACCTATTTACATAACTTCACTTATCTACCTGCCTGCCTACCAAACTACTTGCCTAGCTGCCTATTTCCCTACCTACTTATGTATCTTTACCAATCTTTTTGCCCTACTATAGGCGCCATAGTACCCCCACCCACAGTAATTTTGTAAGGGGACTAAGAGACCACTTTAGCCAAGTATAGAAATTCTCTTGTAAAGTATTTGTTTCATATTATTTAAAGTATATTATATGTACTTGCCACTCAACACAGTAATAATAGTATAATTTGTTGAAGGGCAAATAAATATCAGAATATGAAAGTCAAGGACCCCTTTCCACGCCTTCAGGTGTATTGGGCATATAGGGCTAGACCTAAATTTTATAGACCAATCGGCACAGGTTGGGTGATGTGGTCAGCATCACGCCGGCCGCCTTTACCATCCCGGGACTGCACCTAGTACCCACTCAAGGCTGGGTCGACCTGACAGCCAAGGTCGTTTTTGAAAAAAAAGTCTGGCTCTGCCAGGACCCGAACCAACGACCTTCCGATCCGCATTCGAGCTTCTAGCCGCTACACCACAGCGGTTCTCAAATGTAATAAGATACTAAAAATAATATTAAATGTATAAACAGATACTGTGAAAAAGAATTTCTGTACATGGTTAAAAAGGGGCCTCTTAGCCCAGCCCCCACCAACTATTTCTTGGGCTATTTCTCGAGAACCCCTTCTTTGTTGCCTCAAAATATGCAATTTTTTTGTGGGGGGGGGGGGGGGGGGGTGTTGGCATGCCTGTAACTATCTACATTTTTCTGTCTACCTGCCTACCTGTCTGTTGGTCTCTGTGCCTGCCTGCTGGTCTCTGTGCCTGCCTACCTGTCTGTTGGTATCTATGCCTGTCTACCTGTCTGCTGGTCTCTGTGCCTGCCTACCTGTCTGTTGGTATCTATGCCTGTCTACCTGTCTGCTGGTCTCTGTGCCTGTCTACCAGTCTGCTGGTCTCTGTGCCTGTCTACCTGTCTGTTGGTCTCTGTGTCTGTCTACCTGTCTGTTGGTCTCTGTGCCTGTCTAACTGTCTGTTGGTCTCTGTGCCTGTCTACCTGTCTGTTGGTCTCAGTTCCTGTCTACTTGTCTGCTGGTCTCTGTGCCTGCCTACCTGTTTGTTGGTCTCTGTGTCTGTCTACCTGTCTGTTGGTCTCTGTGTCTGTCTACCTGTCTGTTGGTCTCTGTGCCTGTCTACCTGTCTGTTGGTCTCTGTGCCTGTCTACCTGTCTGTTGGTCTCAGTTCCTGTCTACTTGTCTGCTGGTCTCTGTGCCTGCCTACCTGTCTGTTGGTCTCTGTGTCTGTCTACCTGTCTGTTGGTCTCTGGCCTGTCTACCAGTCCGCTGGTCTCTGTGCCTGTCTGCTGGTCTCTGTGCCTGCCTACCTGTCTGTTGGTATCTATGCCTGTCTACCTGTCTGTTGGTCTCTATGCCTGTCTACCTGTCTGCTGGTCTCTGTGCCTGCCTACCTGTCTGCTGGTCTCTGTGCCTGCCTACCTGTCTGTTGGTCTCTGTGCCTGTCTACCTGTCTGCTGGTCTCTGTGCCTACCTGTCTGTTGGTCTCTGTGCCTGTCTACCTCTCTGCTGGTCTCTGTGCCTGCCTACCTGTCTGCTGGTCTCTGTGCCTGTCTACCTGTCTGTTGGTCTCAGTGCCTGTCTACCAGTCTGCTGGTCTCTGTGCCTGTCTACCTGACTGTTGGTCTCTGTGCCTGCCTACCTGTCTGCTGGTCTCTGTGCCTGCCTACCTGTCTGCTGGTCTCTGTGCCTGTCTACCTGTCTGTTGGTCTCTGTGCCTGCCTACCTGTCTGCTGGTCTCTGTGCCTGTCTACCTGTCTGTTGATCTCTGTGCCTGCCTACCTGTCTGCTGGTCTCTGTGCCTGTCTACCTGTCTGTTGGTCTCTGTGCCTGCCTACCTGTCTGCTGGTCTCTGTGCCTGTCTACCAGTCTGCTGGTCTCTGTGCCTGTCTACCTGTCTGTTGGTCTCTATGCCTGCCTACATACCTGGCAATCTACCTACCTACTTGCATGCAAACCTCCCTAAAAATAGGAAACAAGTTTGAGTGTATAATCTTACCAGTTTGTCTACATTTTTCTGTCTACCTGCCTACCTGTCTGTTGGTCTCTGTGCCTGCCTGCTGGTCTCTGTGCCTGCCTACCTGTCTGTTGGTATCTATGCCTGTCTACCTGTCTGCTGGTCTCTGTGCCTGCCTACCTGTCTGTTGGTATCTATGCCTGTCTACCAGTCTGCTGGTCTCTGTGCCTGTCTGTTGGTCTCTGTGTCTGTCTACCTGTCTGTTGGTCTCTGTGCCTGTCTACCTGTCTGTTGGTCTCAGTTCCTGTCTACTTGTCTGCTGGTCTCTGTGCCTGCCTACCTGTCTGTTGGTCTCTGTGTCTGTCTACCTGTCTGTTGGTCTCTGTGTCTGTCTACCTGTCTGTTGGTCTCTGTGCCTGTCTACCTGTCTGTTGGTCTCTGTGCCTGTCTACCTGTCTGTTGGTCTCAGTTCCTGTCTACTTGTCTGCTGGTCTCTGTGCCTGCCTACCCGTCTGTTGGTCTCTGTGTCTGTCTACCTGTCTGTTGGTCTCTGTGCCTGTCTACCAGTCTGCTGGTCTCTGTGCCTGTCTGCTGGTCTCTGTGCCTGCCTACCTGTCTGTTGGTATCTATGCCTGTCTACCTGTGTTGGTCTCTATGCCTGTCTACCTGTCTGCTGGTCTCTGTGCCTGCCTACCTGTCTGCTGGTCTCTGTGCCTGCCTACCTGTCTGTTGGTCTCTGTGCCTGTCTACCTGTCTGCTGGTCTCTGTGCCTGCCTACCTGTCTGTTGGTCTCTGTGCCTGTCTACCTCTCTGCTGGTCTCTGTGCCTGCCTACCTGTCTGCTGGTCTCTGTGCCTGTCTACCTGTCTGTTGGTCTCAGTGCCTGTCTACCTGTTTGCTGGTCTCAGTGCCTGTCTACCAGTCTGCTGGTCTCTGTGCCTGTCTATCTGTCTGCTGGTCTCTGTGCCTGTCTACCAGTCTGCTGGTCTCTGTGCCTGTCTACCTGTCTGTTGGTCTCTGTGCCTGTCTACCTGTCTGCTGGTCTCTGTGCCTGCCTACCTGTCTGCTGGTCTCTGTGCCTGTCTACCTGTCTGTTGGTCTCTGTGCCTGTCTACCAGTCTGCTGGTCTCTGTGCCTGTCTACCTGTCTGTTGGTCTCTGTGCCTGTCTACCTGTCTGTTGGTCTCTGTGCCTGTCTACCTGTCTGTTGGTCTCTGTGCCTGCCTACCTGTCTGTTGGTCTCTGTGCCTGCCTACCTGTCTATTGGTCTCTGTGCCTGTCTACCTGTCTGCTGGTCTCTGTGCCTCTCTACCTGTCTGTTGGTCTCTGTGCCTGTCTACCTCTTTGCTGGTCTCTGTGCCTGCCTACCTGTCTGCTGGTCTCTGTGCCTGTCTACCTGTCTGCTGGTCTCAGTGCCTGTCTACCTGTTTGCTGGTCTCTGCGCCTGTCTACCTGTCTGCTGGTCTCTGTGCCTGCCTACCTGTCTGTTGGTCTCTGTGCCTGTCTACCTGTCTGTTGGTCTCAGTTCCTGTCTACCTGTCTGCTGGTCTCTGTGCCTGCCTACCTGTCTGTTGGTCTCTGTGCCTGTCTACCAGTCTGCTGGTCTCTGTGCCTGTCTACCAGTCTGCTGGTCTCTGTGCCTGTCTGCTGGTCTCTGTGCCTGCCTACCTGTCTGCTGGTCTCTGTGCCTGCCTACCTGTCTGCTGGTCTCTGTGCCTGTCTACCTGTCTGCTGGTCTCTGTGCCTGTCTACCTGTCTGTTGGTCTCTGTGCCTGCCTACCTGTCTGCTGGTCTCTGTGCCTGTCTACCTGTCTGTTGATCTCTGTGCCTGCCTACCTGTCTGCTGGTCTCTGTGCCTGTCTACCTGTCTGTTGGTCTCTGTGCCTGCCTACCTGTCTGCTGGTCTCTGTGCCTGTCTACCAGTCTGCTGGTCTCTGTGCCTGTTTACCTGTCTGTTGGTCTCTATGCCTGCCTACATACCTGGCAATCTACCTACCTACTTGCATGCAAACCTCCCTAAAAATAGGAAACAAGTTTGAGTGTATAATCTTACCAGTTTGTCTGTCTAGCTGTTTGAACTGACCAACTTACCTATCTACCTTTCTTATCAACATGTAGCAGGTCCTTTGCAAAGTGTCACTCTCATCAGTGTATGCCTGAAAAGAAACTCAGTCTCTCATCAGATCTCATGCCTCATGCACTTTCCTAACCAAGGTATCCTATCTTCATGCCGGTTGGCCCCTGTCCCTCTTTCCTGGCACCATGCCCTCTGTTGTTGTTGTTGTTGTTGTCCAATCCGCTTTGGCGACTGATGTGGCCAAAATTATAAAATATTTCAGTGCCAAGACAAGTGATTAGAGATTGGTGTGGCCAAAATATAAAATATTTTAGAGCCAAGACAAGTGATTAGAGATTGGGGAGGACTATCATCACAGCACTCTGGACAGATCCATGGGTGCTCAAGTCTGGATAAGGAGACTGAGTCTTCAATTGTCATGATCTTCTCTGCTATGTGCAGCTCACATGGCATTAATGACATCATTCCTGCCCAGTGACGGGCCAGTTGTGTTAACCTCATTGTCTGTCAGATAATCTACACGCTCATTACCTTGAACACCTGCCTAACCCCGGCATAAAGATAAAAGGTTAGGCAAGTTATTTGTGATGCTTTTATTGAGAGAATCTGTTCATGTCCGATGAAGCCAGCCTGGATTTTCTTGAAAATATTCATTGAATTGCACAGTATACACACATGTGTGTCAGAGACAAGATGCTGAATGCCAGCCAGTCTTGCTGATGTTCACATCTTTTAAGATGTCATATTTATTTTCTACTCTGTCCATATTATTCTGAGAATTTTTTTATTCTTCCAGCTCAAAAGAAATCTACCAACCTACCAGAACTTGACCTGTCTTGACGCAAATAAACCAGTCCACTTACCTATACATATACTCACTTACCTATTTACTTACCAGCCACTTTACCTATCTATCCACCTTCTTACTATTTGTCAGCATACCTACCTATACCTGAATACTGCTTACATATTTATCTGCCTACCCACAACCTTATTCAGCTTCTCACCCTTGCAGCTTGAATTTTTGCCTTGCATATTTAAAATGAAATCATTTGACCCTGTGCACTGACCCCACTGTCTTTGTGTGTGCACTGACCCTGCTTTCTTTGTGTGTGCACTGACCCCACTGTCTTTGTGCGTGCACTGACCCCACTGTCTTTGTGTGTGCACTGATCCCACTGTCTTTATGTGTGTACTGATCCCAATGCCTTTGTGTGTGCACTGATCCCACTGTCTTTGTGTGTGCACTGATCCCACTGTCTTTGTGTGTGCACTGACCCCACTGTCTCTGTGTGTGCACTGATCCCACTGTCTTTGTGTGTGCACTGATCCCACTGTCTTTGTGTGTGCACTGACCCCACTGTCTTTGTGTGTGCACTGACCCCACTGTCTTTGTGTGTGCACTGACCCCATTGTCTTTGTTTCCAGGGTTCAGGGGCAGGGTGGGGCTGGAGCAACTGGGGCTCATCACTGCTGACTGCAGCCACAAACTCTGTACAAACATTTACGCACCAAGTCGGTGAGTAGCCTCACGTTTGTATGCATCCATTTATGATAGATTATAATTTGTCAGTGCAGATGATCTTATATACGTTGTTCTTTTACTTCTGGCCTTTACACACCAAGTCGGTGAGTAGCCTCAGGTTTGTATGCATCCATTTATGATAGATTATAATTTGTCAGTGCAGATGATCTTATATACGTTGTTCTTCCACTTCTGGCCTTTACACACCAAGTCGGTGAGTAGCCTCACGTTTGTATGCATCCATTTATGATAGATTATAATTTGTCAGTGCAGATGATCTTATATACGTTGTTCTTCCACTTCTGGCCTTTACACACCAAGTCGGTGAGTAGCCTCACGTTTGTATGCATCCATTTATGATAGATTATAATTTGTCAGTGCAGATGATCTTATATACGTTGTTCTTCCACTTCTGGCCTTTACACACCAAGTCGGTGAGTAGCCTCACGTTTGTATGCATCCATTTATGATAGATTATAATTTGTCAGTGCAGATGATCTTATATACGTTGTTCTTCCACTTCTGGCCTTTACACACCAAATCGGTGAGTAGCCTCACGTTTGTATGCATCCATTTATGGTAGATTATAATTTGTCAGTGCAGATGATCTTATATACGTTGTTCTTCCACTTCTGGCCTTTACACACCAAGTCGGTGAGTAGCCTCACGTTTGTATGCATCCATTTATGATAGATTATAATTTGTCAGTGCAGATGATCTTATATACGTTGTTCTTCCACTTCTGGCCTTTACACACCAAGTCGGTGAGTAGCCTCACGTTTGTATGCATCCATTTATGATAGATTATAATTTGTCAGTGCAGATGATCTTATATACGTTGTTCTTCCACTTCTGGCCTTTACACACCAAGTCGGTGAGTAGCTTCACGTTTGTATGCATCCATTTATGATAGATTATAATTTGTCAGTGCAGATGATCTTATATACGTTGTTCTTCCACTTCTGGCCTTTACACACCAAGTCGGTGAGTAGCCTCACGTTTGTATGCATCCATTTATGATAGATTATAATTTGTCAGTGCAGATGATCTTATATACGTTGTTCTTCCACTTCTGGCCTTTACACACCAAGTCGGTGAGTAGCCTCACGTTTGTATGCATCCATTTATGATAGATTATAATTTGTCATGCAGATGATATATACGTTGTTCTTCCACTTCTGGCCTTTACACACCACGTGCAGTTTGTATGCATCTTATAGATATAATTTGTCAGTGCAGATGATTCGTTCTTCCACTTCTGGCCTTTACACACCAAGTCGGTGAGTAGCCTCACGTTTGTATGCATCCATTTATGATAGATTATAATTTGTCAGTGCAGATGATCTTATATACGTTGTTCTTCCACTTCTGGCCTTTACACACCAAGTCGGTGAGTAGCCTCACGTCTGTATGCATCCATTTATGATAGATTATAATTTGTCAGTGCAGATGATCTTATATACGTTGTTCTTCCACTTCTGGCCTTTACACACCAAGTCGGTGAGTAGCCTCACGTTTGTATGCATCCATTTATGATAGATTATAATTTGTCAGTGCAGATGATCTTATATACGTTGTTCTTCCACTTCTGGCCTTTACACACCAAGTCGGTGAGTAGCCTCACGTTTGTATGCATCCATTTATGATAGATTATAATTTGTCAGTGCAGATGATCTTATATACGTTGTTCTTCCACTTCTGGCCTTTACACACCAAGTCGGTGAGTAGCCTCACGTTTGTATGCATCCATTTATGATAGATTATAATTTGTCAGTGCAGATGATCTTATATACGTTGTTCTTCCACTTCTGGCCTTTACACACCAAGTCGGTGAGTAGCCTCACGTTTGTATGCATCCATTTATGATAGATTATAATTTGTCAGTGCAGATGATCTTATATACGTTGTTCTTCCACTTCTGGCCTTTACACACCAAGTCGGTGAGTAGGCTCACGTTTGTATGCATCCATTTATGATAGATTATAATTTGTCAGTGCAGATGATCTTATATACGTTGTTCTTCCACTTCTGGCCTTTACACACCAAGTTGGTGAGTAGCCTCACGTTTGTATGCATCCATTTATGATAGATTATAATTTGTCAGTGCAGATGATCTTATATACGTTGTTCTTCCACTTCTGGCCTTTACACACCAAGTCGGTGAGTAGCCTCACGTTTGTATGCATCCATTTATGATAGATTATAATTTGTCAGTGCAGATGATCTTTTATACGTTGTTCTTCCACTTCTGGCCTTTACACACCAAGTCGGTGAGTAGCCTCACGTTTGTATGCATCCATTTATGATAGATTATAATTTGTCAGTGCAGATGATCTTATATACGTTGTTCTTCCACTTCTGGCCTTTACACACCAAGTCGGTGAGTAGCCTCACGTTTGTATGCATCCAATTATGATAGATTATAATTTGTCAGTGCAGATGATCTTATATACGTTGTTCTTCCACTTCTGGCCTTTACACACCAAGTTGGTGAGTAGCCTCACGTTTGTATGCATCCATTTATGATAGATTATAATTTGTCAGTGCAGATGATCTTATATACGTTGTTCTTCCACTTCTGGCCTTTACACACCAAGTCGGTGAGTAGCCTCACGTTTGTATGCATCCATTTATGATAGATTATAATTTGTCAGTGCAGATGATCTTATATACGTTGTTCTTCCACTTCTGGCCTTTACACACCAAGTCGGTGAGTAGCCTCACGTTTGTATGCATCCATTTATGATAGATTATAATTTGTCAGTGCAGATGATCTTATATACGTTGTTCTTCCACTTCTGGCCTTTGGTCATGTTGCAGACTTGGGTTTTGCATGCACATTCATTTTACAGATCTGGCAGTCTTTATGCAGACTGTTGGTTTCTCGCTTTTCATGCACACACTCCAACTTCTAAGGAAACTTCCTTAATTAGTTTTGTTGTGTGACACGCTTGTTAGGGAGGCAGTAGATCTATTCTCCCCCCCCCCCCACCAAACCTCAAATGGGGCCAAGGAACCCAGATGGGTCAAGGAAGGAAGGGAGTAAGAAGATCCAAGAGAAACCCAATGTTGTTCATTGATAAAAGGCTGAAGTGGGTTCTGTACATGGCATTGAAACGATTGACCAGAATAAAATGAAATTGTGGAATCATCTGGGAACTATGTGAGGTATAAACAGCACATGATGTTGATTTTTTCAAATCCCCTGTGGTAGTTGATGATATTTTTATGTTCGAAGTTGTGTTGTTATGTTATATGTCATGTTAGCAGAGTCAACGTCATTGCACATTGGACATTTGCATATGTGCCCAGTCCTTTGATGCTGCAACCACTCCAAGTTACCCATGAGGAGTTTCTTATCTCTGCCTCGAAGGTTTTACTACCTAGTACTCCAATTGCATTTGTTAATATGTTAATGTTTGATATCTGTTTATGTTTGATGTGTGTTTATGTTTGATGTGTGTTTATGTTTGATATCTGTTTATGTTTGATATCTGTTTATGTTTGATGTGTGTTTGTTTGATATCTGTTAATGTTTGATGTGTGTTTATGTTTGATGTGTGTTTATGTTTGATGTGTGTTTATGTTTGATGTGTGTTTATGTTTGATGTGTGTTTATGTTTGATGTGTGTTTATGTTTGATATCTGTTAATGTTTGATGTGTGTTTATGTTTGATGTGTGCTTTTATTTGCTGTATTTTTGTTTTGTATATTAAGTTTGGTATCTGTTTAGGTTTGATGCATGTTTATGTTTGAATGTTTTGTTTATGTTTGGTCTGTGTTTACATATGATATGTGTTTATGATAGATATATTTTTATGTTTGATGTGTGTTTATAATTGGTATATGTTTATGATTGACATGTTATAAAGGTGATGGATTCACCACTATCCTGGAGACTGTGGAGTCATCTCTGGGAGTTCCTGACCCAGAAGACGTCGCCAAAGCTCAGACTGTTACAGAACCACCAGAAGGCGACAGTGCAGGTTGTTGTCTGTGTCTGGTTAATGTCATCCGTGTCTGGTTGTTTTCTGTGTCTGGTTGTTGTATGTGGGGTTGTTGTCTGCATCTGGTTGTCTATGTCTGTTTATTTTTGCCTATCTTATTGTTGTCTGTTTGTTGCCTGTGCCTGATGTCAGTTGTCTGTGATTCTGGTTGTTTACTAGTTATGTTTGCCTATATGGTTGTATGTATCAGGTTGTCCCAGTGTCTATCTGGTTGTTGTATCTGTCTGTTTATTGTCTGTGTCTGGTTGTTCTCACTGTCATTTGTGTGTTTGTCTAGTGGTTGTCTCTCTCTGTTTATTATCTATGTCTGTTTATTGTCTGTGTCTGGTTGTTGCCTCTGTCTATTTATTGCCTATGTCTGTGTGTATATCTGTCTATTTATTATCTGTGTCTGTTTATTGTCTGTGTTTGTTGGTTGTCTCTGTTTGTTTATTGTCTCTGCTAAGCAATTGTTTCTGTCTGTTTATTGTCTGTGTCTAGTAGTTGTCTCTGTCTGTTTATTGTCTGTAAATGATCATTTCCTGTGTCTGTCTGATGATTCGTGTGTCTTTTTGTTTTCTGTGTCTATCTGTTCTGTGTGTCTGGTTGTTTTCTCTGCCTCTCTAATGGTTGTCCTTGTTTGTCCATCTGTTGTCTGATTTTTTTTCTGCATCTGGCTATTTTCTTTTTCTGTGTGTTGGGTAAAGATGGTGCACAATCTAATAGTTCTGAAAATGAGTGCATTTGTACTATGAAACAAAAAGAAAACAATACCGCTTTGCCAGCTTGATGTAGAGAGTGGTCTCTGCTGTGCCTTGTCAAAACATGAAACAAAAAATAGCAGATGGCATCAAGACAAAACAGTGTCAACCATCATCACATTGATGTTTGGACAATACATTGCCAGTTCTTGGGGACTGTTTCTTTTGCTTTTTGACGCTTTCATTTATGTTGATGTTTTTATCAAAGTTCTTGTTCACATTGCTTCAGATTTTTCTCTTTATCCTTCTCTTTTTAATCACATTTTTTTGGGGAAAAAAGGTGAGTTACTGCAGCATAACAGTATATTGATTGTCTTTTTCATAGTGGTCTCTCAACCAGAAGATGGGAAGCAAGAAGAAAAGGTTAAGGTGGATGAGAGCTCCAGCCAGACCAACCCCAAAACTGATGCACTGGAGGATGAAGAAGGACAGTCGGATGAGAAAGCTGATGAAAATATAGAACAGCCAAAGAAGGAAGGAGATGGTTGGTTTTCTAGTTGGAAGATGTCAGAGTTTGCCAAGAAGGTTCAAGACACGGTGAGAAACTGGACTGTTTCTAGATTATCCTTATATTAATAAAGAAACAGAATATGTATTGATCAGCGCGCATAGAAAGAAGTAGACAGATAGAAGAACACAATAGACAACATAAAAATTGAAAGTTATAGTTACTGTGCCGGGAATCGAACCTGTCACCTCAAGACGGCGTGTGCGCCACGCAGTGGAAACAAGTGCACTAGGCACCCCCCTCCCCCCAAAAGGTGTCTTATTGGCCATGTCTATCGTACAGCTTGAAATCCACAACTATGAAATACGCACATAATTAATTTCAAACCATTGAAATGTCACCATAGGTTACAGAAATTTATAAGCATAGGTCGAATAACAAGCACAGCAACAATTTACGAACACAGTAGACGTTAATGTTTTGTCTAGAATACACAAACATTTAAGAAAGGTATTTGATTGGTAGGTTCCAGTGTGTATACGTCATCCCTATAAATAAACAGAGGAGGAACCCTTGAGGCCTTTAAATATTATATGTTAATAAAGTAATAGAAAATGTATTCATCATACTCATAGAAAGAAGACAAAAGATAGAAGAACACACTAGACAACATAAAAATTGAAAGCTATAGTTACAGTGCTGGGACAAAGATACTTGTGGGAAGACATCCAGAGATAAATAAACAGCAGTGCACTACATAGACATGAGGCAGAGTGTTTTGGCAATTGATGGCAGCCAGCCCTCATTCTGGAGACAGCACCTGATTGATTGATTGAAAGAGGGTGGCATGCAGCTGTTTAAAAAATAAACTTACTTGCCAAATCCAAGCACAAGTCTGCAAAGGTCGTAGCTTGATGATCTTTACTCTGTTTTTTTTTTATTTTAATTTTTATTTTAAATGAAAAATTTTTGTTTAATATAATTTAATTATAGGGCAAATCGTTGGCCTCCAAGGGTCACACACTGATGGCAGAAGGGTTTGATGCTGTGGAGAATTTAGCAGCAGGAGGCATCGATGTCCTGGAGACTATTGGCAAGAAAACCTATAGTACGCTCTCGGAGCATGATCCTGCGTTCCGCAAGACCAGGGAGTTTCTGAGCCCCAAAGGAAACAAGCCAAACCTCTCCAGTGTCCTGCGGGAAGCCAAAGAGAAGTCAGAGTTTGAAGCCGAGCAGGAGAAGCAGAATGAGGAGGCCAGGAAGGCTCACTTTGGGACTTTGTTCGATGATTACCAGGGTTAGTTAGCGTTGTTATGGTTCGGTTTTAAATTTGTTTTTACTTGGTTAGTTTGGTGTTATATTTTTGTTTCAAATATTTGATAATTACTGGAGGTAGATTGTGTTGTTATGGTTTAATGTGTGATATTTACCAGGGTTAGACTGTGTTGTTATGGTTTAGTATTAGAAATTTGTTGTAGCTGTAATTTTAAACCAATATTTGTAGGCTGGGGTTTGAGTTTTGAACCAAAAGTTTCAGAGAAACACATTGAATAGAGTTTTTAGAGATGTGGATATACAGAAGAAAAGGTAGTATTTCATAGAAACAAAAATAGTCAAACAGACCTTATTAAGAGACTTGGAATTAAAAAAGAAAGTGTTAATGAAAGATTTTAAAAACCATTGCAATTTTTCAGCCTCATTAAAAGACATAACACTCTTTTAAAAACCATACTGGAAACAAAAGGTGAGATGTCAACAGTGAAACGAGTGGGAGGACAACATAGAAAAATATGGATGAACGGCAGTGGGAGAGAGTGTACAACCAAGACAAGTGATAAAGAATGTTGGAGATCAGTTGTAGTTACGTCTCCTGATTGATTGGTTACTGAGGCTTTAGGCTGTTGACCCTTTCACCCAGTGAACACTAACAAAAAAAAATTACGAATCTGAAAAATACCTGTGTTTAACTTGTTTTAATAGCATTTGACTTATTTTCACAACATTTGGCTGTGTTTTCATGGCATTTCACTGTGTTCTTATGACATTTGACTGTGTTTTCTTGGCATTTGGCTATGTTTTAAAGGCATTTGACTGTGTTTTAATGGCATTTGATTGTTTTAATTGCATTTGACATTTTTTTTTTGTCATTTGACTGTTTTAATGGCATTTGACTGTGTTTTCACAGCATTTGACTGTTTTAATGGCGTTTGAATGTGTTTTAACAACATTAACGGGGATTACTTCACAATCACAAATTACTAGATCTAGTCTTCTCGGGGTGACAGGGTTAAACAAAATGTGACACAGGATTTGTCACTTGTCTATAATTTCAGGAATTGCTCATCTGGAGGCCTTAGAGATGCTGTCCAACCAGAGTGAAAAGAAAGTTCACTCCCTCCTCAACGTCCTGTCTTCAGCCGACCTGGCAGAGATTAAACCCACCCTCCTTTCCATAAAGGAGGCCTTTGAGATCACTGAGGAGGATGGTGGTAAGTTGGGGATCTGTATTAAATTGTTGATTTAAAAAAAAAAAATTGGCTTGGGAGTCCTGGTGGTGAGGGAGTCAGCTTCCTTGCATGCTGAGATAGTGGTCCAGGTTCAGTCTCTAGAAGTTAACAGGATTTTTGTATGGGGTTGATCCAGAATCATTAACTTGAATACATGATATTTCAAGGAAGTTGGTGGGAAGAAAAGGCGATGAGGATGGGAACTGGCCATTTCCTTGTATGTTATGGCCCAGAATATGTGCAGTATCTGCTGTAGGACTTCTTCTTCTTCTTCACTTCCTCTTTTACCGCTGTGGGTGTCGAGGGAGTTATAAGGTTCTGTTTCTAGCTCTTCTGGCTGCCTCGACCATAGGCACATCGTGCTGTTGTAGAGTTTCTCTGATGTTATCCTTCCATCTTGTTCTTGGTCTACCCCGTGCTCTACGTCCTTCTTCTCTTTCCATGTATGCTTTTTATGGTATGGTGTCACAAGGCATTCTCTCTAAGTGGGCAAACCATTTCACTTGCTGTCTTTGTATGTAATCCAGAATTAGTTCTGTGCCGACTTTTTCTCTTATGATCTCATTCCTGATCTTATCTCTTATGGTCACTCCTACAGCCCTTCTCACACATCTCATTTCCGTGGTTACTAATTTTCTTTTATGGTTTGTTGTGATTGTTTGCTGATTGGGATTGTCTTATGCTGTAAGAGGGGGGCTAGCTGTCCCAATACTTGGTTTGCTTTACTGCATTTAATGTCAATTTCTTTATCCAATTTCCCATCTTCGGTAAATGTAGTTCCCAGACATTTAAACTCAGATGCCTGTTTAATGCCCTTCTTCTTCTTCTTCTTCTTCTTCTTCTTCTTCTTCTTCTTCTTCTTCTTCTTCTTCTTCTTCTTCTTCTTCTTCTTCTTCTTCTTCTTCTTCTTCTTTTTCTTCTTCTTCTTCTTCTTCTTCTTCTTCTTCTTCTTCTTCTTTTTCTTCTTCTTCTTCTTCTTCTTCTTCTTCTTCTTCTTCTTCTTATTCTTCTTCTTCTTCTTCTTCTTCTTCTTCTTCTTATTTCTTCTTCTTCTTCTTCTTCTTCTTCTTCTTCTTCTTTCTTCTTCTTCTTCTTCTTCTCTCTTCTTCTTCTTCTTCTTCTTCTTCTTCTTCTTCTTCTTCTTATTCTTCTTCTTCTTCTTCTTCTTCTTCTTCTTCTTCTTCTTCTTCTTCTTCTTCTTCTTCTTTCTTCTTCTTCTTCTTCTTCTTATCTTCTTCTTCTTCTTCTGGAGGATTCTTCTTCTTCTTCTTCTTCTTCTTCTTCTTCTTCTTCTTCTTCTTCTTCTTCTTCTTCTCTTTTTCTTCTTCTTCTTCTTTTCTTCTTCTTCTTCTTCTTCTCTTCTTCTTCTTCTCTTCTTCTTCTTCTTCTTCTCCTTCTTCTTCTTCTTCTTCTTCTTCTCTTCTTCTTCTTTCTCTCTTCTTCTTCTTCTTCTTCTTCTTCTTCTTCTTCTTCTTCTTCTTCTTCTTCTTCTTCTTTCTTCTTCTTCTTCTTCTTCTTCTTCTTCTTCTTCTTTCTTCTTCTTCTTCTTCTTCTTCTTCTTCTTCTTCTTCTTCTTCTTCTTCTTCTTATTCTTCTTTTCTTCTTCTTCTTCTTTTTCTTCTTCTTCTTCTTCTTCTTCTTCTTATCTTCTTCTTCTTCTTCTTCTTCTTCTTCTTCTTCTTCTTCTTCTTCTTCTTTTCTTCTTCTTCTTCTTCTTCTTCTTCTTCTTCTTCTTCTTCTTCTTCTTCTTCTTCTTCTTCTTCTTCTTCTTCTTCTTTTCTTCTTCTTCTTCTTCTTCCTTCTTCTTCTTCTTCGTCTTCCTCTTCCTCTTCCTCTTCTTCTTCTTCTTCACTTCCTCTTTTACTGCTGTGGGTGTCGAGGGAGATATAAGGTTATGTTTCTAGCTCTTCTGGCCGCCTCGACCATAGGCCATTCTGACCATTCACCGGCTGTAAACCGTGCATCTACCTGAGAGGTGAGGGACCAACAGTCTGCATACAAATAAGCCAGGTCTGTGAAATGAATGTGCACACAAACTCAAGTTCTAAAACAAGACCAGAGTCCAGAAGTGGATGAACAACCAGCACTTTCTGCTGAAGTTTACAGCCAGTGGACACGAAGGAGAAGAAGAAGAAGAAAATTCTCTCAGTTTATTCCTCATGTGTTATTCACTGACTCCGATTTTGTCAGTGTTTCAATCTTTCAGTACCAGAAGGTTTGGCAGGAAGTGCTCAGAGGGAGATGGGAGAAAACAAACCCTGATTAGTCAACTTGTACAACATGCTTGTTAGGGGGGAGGGGGCAATGGGTATATCCCCCCTCCCCTTTCCCACACAATGGAGCCTCTGAACCTACACTGAGTATTATGAAGTCTGAACTCACAACTATCAGAGCAAGAGGGAAGTGGTTTAACCACTTCACTACAAATCACCCATACTTGGTGGTCTTTCTCAGTTGCAATTTGTTGATTGAGATTTTTGTATTGTACATACTTACTTAGTCTAATCACATTGATTTCCTGAATTAATTAGTCATTGA